GGAAGGGGCGGCCGCCATGTGGCGGCGGAGGGCGCGGCCGCCATGTCGCGGCCGCCATGTCGCGACCGCCCGTGCCCCGCGCCGCGCCGCGGGACGCGGCTCCGTCCGCGGGCGGGTTGTTAGCGGGACGGGAGCCTCGTGGGCAGCCGAGGGGTTTCTTCACGGGCTGAGGCGCTTGGAATGCCGTTACAAAGATGTATTTGCGGTTTTCGCAAAGGCGCGTGATTCAGAGGAGTGCAGGGACCCTGAGGGCGTGATACGTGGGTTTGTGGGAGATGCCCGAATGGGCGGTAGGTTTTTATCTTGCCCCGTCACCTGTGGGTTTTTCTTTTTTCTTCTCCCCCCCCCCCTTTTTTTTTCAGTTTCTAGAAAGTCCAGTCTCATGGATTTAATAAAACACCCGTCAGATAAAAGGTTGGCAGCACAAGTTGTGTGACCACTCTGATGGGATGCAGTGTTTTAGGATTGGTGAGCATGTGGCTGAAGGCCACTGTGAACCTTTAATGTCATAAACACCCAGCTCTGCTCCGTGAATGGAGTTAGGTCTCCAACATACTCTAGACAAAACAAAAACAAAAACAAAAAAAAAAAAAAAAAAAAAACACCCAAATCCTGCTCTCTTGTACTGCGGGAGCTGCTTCCAGTAAATCACAGCTGCTTTTTGACAATTCCTCTGTGAACTCGAGGGAGTAGAAGAAGCCAAACCAGAAATGTGCAGCTGGGCAGGAATGAATTTGTGATTCCAGAAAAAAAAAGATTTTTATTTTTTTAATAAGAAATAGTCTGAGAAACATGCCGGAATTGCAGTGGGAGTCTCTGGAGTTCATAAAGATCCATAGGAATCAGAAATAATATATGATGGTCAAGTCAGAAGTCCCAAGAACTGGTGCACATCACTCAACCATGCCCTGGGCTCTGTGCAATAGCGGACAGGGTTTGAAATCAGCTCTTACAGCAGCTGGAGCTTGCGAGGAAATAGATGTATTCCTGAAGGCTTGGATCAGCCTGAGGGGGAGCAGCTTTTGGGCAGCTTTTTTAGGAAGAGGGGTGTGTAAAAGAGCTAGAAATCCAGATGTACTGCAGACGTCTAGCGCAGGAAGCAAGAAGACCATAGGAGAGAACTGAAAAGTTGGGAGATGCCATCTGGGAGAAGCCTCATCAGGAGGGCAGCAGCTCCATAATGTGTATACAGGAGGGAACATTGTGGGGGAGCTCCAGCAGGATGGCAATGAAATGAGCCAAGAATGACCTCTCTGAGGTGCTAAGGAAGTACAGAGGCAACCCTACCCTTCTCAGTGTAGCAACATTGTTATTTTCTCTTAGAAAAGTTCACCAGTCTTTGTACCCATTAGGTTTTTTTTTTTTTTTTATCAACAGTCGTGGCTGGGGTTGGATTATTTTTGTGTACTCTACATTATAAAACATGCTGAACAGCATATGTTCAATGTGAACTGGTAGTGCACAGGGCAGGAGATAATGCACAATTAGCTTAGAAAAGCACAATTAGCTTGGAGACCAGCATTAAAGTGAGTTCACGAAGAAGGGTTCAGTAGTCCTTCGGGTGAATGTTTTTATATGCTTTGTGTGAAGTCTTTTGTGTCACGTTTAGCTAGAGATGAAGAGTTTTGTATGGAAGTGAAATCTTTCCAAGCACACAGATCTTTGCATGGCTACTTTATTTTTGTATAGTCATAAAGACTGAAGGTAGAGCAAGTCAATGAAATAGATGAGTTAATGGATTTCATACAGCATTTCTGATAATTATTAACTGTGGTTTAAAGCCTTTATGGCTCTCCATCATACACTTGAGCAATCGCTGTCCTTTATAACTTTGCTCTCGGGGCATGGGGCTATTTTAGTGTTAAGACACTGAAAACTTCTGCTGCAAGGATTGAAAAAGAAGGAGGTTAGAGGCCTTTTATCTGCAATCGAATCACTGCCCATTTCTGTCTGTTGAATACAGTGGTGGTTTTCAGTTGGGTGATGGTGCAGTAGAGCACATAGGTCACTACATGCATTGCCACAACAAGGCAGTACCTTCTCTGGCTGTTTTTGCAGCTAAAATACGACTTTGCTGCATGTTCTCTTTTGCCTGGGTGAGATTAACTCCACGAGCTACCTAGAGCTGTTTCACCGTCTCTGAAGTGAAAGAAAGGTCTTGGATTCGCTGTTAAAAACACTACAGTTTTCTCTGGAAATCAAAAGTATGCATCCATCTTAATGTAAAATATAGAGATACGCTGGAAATGACACTACTGTGAGGCAAAATAGTTGAGAAAAAATCCCGTGCTCCCATAGAGAGTTGAGTTTGGCTTGCTTGTCTCGAAATAAAAAGGAACCCCCGTCCTCATTATTGTATTATTATCATATAATACCTTGGAAGTGTCCTGAAGTGAAAAGTACACCGCTTTTTAGTGGTAAAGACTTATCAGAATGAGTGTTTGGAGTCAGTCTCATGGTGGTGTTGGTGGTGCTGTGGTGAATGAAGGGGCTCCTTTGCAATGCCAAGTAACGAAGCTTCCTGTTACCACAGCCCACCTTCATCCTGGTACCCAGCTGTTGCTTGCATAGCATGCCTAGAAGATGGAGCAACGTTTCCACAAATTCCTGCTGATTTAGAGAAGCCGAGCCCAACGTAACGTGTTGCAGCAACCTGAAACTGCTGTGTGGACAGGGGTTTTTAAGGCCGTAGCTCTGTTTTTTCCTAAATGGCTCTGTGGCAGGGTGCTGCAATCGTGTGCTGCTGTGTGCTGTTGCACTGTCTTTTGAAACAGGCCAAAAGGGGCATGCAAAAGGGGTAATGCTGACACACTGCATTGGGGTACAGCTTGGATACAGGTTTCCTGGTGGTCTTCCTTCATCTAAGGCAAATGGGAGGTGAAAAGGGGGTCTATAGGAGTCCAGTAGAGAAACTCTAACTATGGACATGTCCAAGAAGTCACGTGGAAGGGCCTGGTTTTCAGGCTCAGGTTTATCGGGGTTTATAGTGAAAACATTGGCTTTACCAATGGTTCTGCAGAAGGTGCTGATGGTTGTGGTGCTGCTGTTGGTGATACAGCATTCCCACTTAGCCAGGGACATATGTAGTGTTAGGGAAGGGGAGCACAACCTGGGCATTTACGGATGCAAACATCTGTTCTCACCTAGGATGGAGACGAATTTCTGTAAAAATCACTCCTACAGCTAAGTACAGTTTATGGAGATTACACCTACAAGAAAATGTTACTGACCCTTCCACATTCAGATGAAATCTGTGAGATTTGTTACTATCGTTAAGTGCCTGTTACTCTTAGAGGTGTGAGTAAGGAGGAGGCTTGGACAAGCACGAGCTCTGCTTTAGCTCTGTTCACACTATTAATGATTACACTTGTGCAAGTCTTAGCAGGAACAAGGTTAATCAAACACAAAAGGCTTATGAAAGGAGTTTCTGTGGCGGGCCGCTGTAAAATCCACAAATATCACTCTTAATCTACCGTCTTCTGAGGAACAAACACTCAGAAACCATTATCTCAGCTATCTGCATAAGTACCTCAACCTTTCCACCTAACCTGCTGCGTGCTGCTTCTGTAATCCACTTGCCTCGGGTTGTTCTCCCGTGCAGGCTCGCTAAAGATACTGAAACATGTCAAGTCATACCTCAAAAAAAGAAAAGCGCTTTCTTTTTACCTCAGAGTCTGTTGCTGAAGGTCATTCTGGTAAGTCGAAATCCTAATTCAGACTTTCCTTTTATTAAGTACTTGTGCTGAGGAAGGCTGTGTGGTGAAAGTTAAGTCATTTCTGCCTTAATGGAGAAAAGGAAGGAGCGATCAGTTATTTTTATGAGACATCAGATTAGTTTCCTTGTGCACTTTAAGAGAATTTATTTGTTTGGTATGCAGTATAATCAGGGATTATACTTAAATTTTGAACTTTTGCTTGAGAGAAGCGTGGGGAAGTCTTTTACAGTAGACTTCGAGTTGCAGCATATACTGGACATTGATTTCCGTTGCAATTCTGTAAGGAGAAGAAATAATTTTCTGGCTATTTCTGTAATAGAGTATCATTAGTTTTGGACTTCTGAAATGTTTGGAATGCTCAGCATTAATTTTCATCACAGCTGCATTCCAGGTAATGCTACAATATTAAATGTGCTTCTTCCATCATGTTGCTGTTCTTAAAACAAATTCCTGTACACCCCAGCCTGTGCAAAATCAGGCTGCCCTCTGGGACTGAAGACTCTTGTTTCTTTTAGACAAAGACATCATTAAAGACACTAAAAAAAAAAAAAAAAAAAAAAAAAAAAAGCATTTCTGCAATTTTTGCTAACTGATAGATCGGAGGAAGTTTGAACTTCCAGAAGGAGCCCTGTGTCTGAAATTTGCTACAAAGGTAGCAATAGGTCCCATTATTATAACCTTCACCTGACATACATTTTAATGCTAAGATGATATATTTTAAATGCTAATTTAGCTAAATACTATTTCTATGTATTTTATTGCTAAGACATATATTTTAAATGCCAAGACTGGGAAAAAAAAAAAATTGCTTTTCTGCAACATTGCTTCACCACAATGGAATGAAACCCAAAAAGCCAAGCAGCGGGAAAGCCATGGTGGTGCCCTACACTGAAGGTTTGCCGCTGCCTTTTTCATTGCATATCTGTTTTTTTTGCAGCAATTCCTACTCATTGTAAGGGTACATTTGGGTGTATTTTGAGAGCAGCCACATGACTAACCCCTCCATCTGCCCAGCCCCTGGTGAGCAGTGCAACCTCTGCAGAAGCGTGCCTGGACTTGCCCCAGCCCCGGGTGGCTTTGCACAACCGTGCTGCGTGTTGCAACGGGGCACATAGCTGAAGGCAGTAAAACCCGTCAGTTCATGCAGGTCACGTTGTCCCTGCTTGAGCGTCAGGCCCCGCGGTGTGGGGCTGCTTCTTGACGTGCAGAGCTCAGTTTGCTGCAGGGTGGTGGAGAGACTTGCTGATGACAGGCTGGGCAGCAGCGTGGGCTGGCTGGTGCTGCACTAGGCTCTGCAGACGGTTCCTAAGTCTGAGTTTTGACCACAGCTGCTGTATTTCGCACTTTTTGTCTTCAGACCAGGGTCAGCTTTCATCCAGGTACAATATTTTGGATGCAGCTGTGTAGTTGTGTGGCTAAACCTACGTTCTTTTATTTTTGTAGTGAGGTGGATGAAGGTTAGTGCCTGTTTCTCATTTTGGGCCAAAAGATATATTTCTGAAGAAATGCTGTGGATTGCTGTTGCCCAATTCACTTATCGTGATTTGTACAACCTCAGACAACCTCAATTGACAGACAACCTCAATTTGTACCAAGATATATGTCATTAACTTCAAATAAACCAATATCCTGAAAAGAAAGTAATGGTATTCTCAGGTCTTGTTACACAACAAGCAATTATTTGCTAAAGAAGGAATATATAAAAATGATTTTTCTCTAATGATTTTGTCCTTAAAAATGCTTTTTTGATCTCTTATTCTGCCTTGTCAGAAATTTTACTGTGAGGACTTGTGAATGGCCAATGTCTTGTTGCCCCTGAGAATGTCTGCAAACTCTCTATACTCAAGTGAGCTGAATTGTAACAGTGGATTCAGTATAAAATCATGTGTTTTTAGGTAGAGGAATGCCTCTTGTGATCCCAAAAAAAAGAGATATCAGAACTCCCCACAGAAGGTAGTGAAGGGATCAACAGTCCTGATCTCTGACGGTTATAAAACGCATGTGACATTGAGTACTTTGCACACAGCGTGCAATACAAATTTTAAAGTAAAGACGGGAAGAAGAGAAACTCCCTACTAAAGGGACTTAGGTATTACACAAATATTTTATTTCTTCAGAAAGTCTTATATCTTTTATTGAAATGAATATTTCATGATTGCTTTTGTGGCTTTCTTCTTTTTTTTCCACTTACCTTGGAAGCTGCTGGCTCGTGCAGATGACAGATTGACTTGAGCAGGGGAGTGAAAACATACATTACATACATAATGCATACATTTCAGAGTTGTGGTTGTTAAAACTGCACCTTGGCAGTTGCTTTTGCAGAGGTCTGCTGCCCACTAGAAAGGAAATCTTACCACAAAATTATTTTTCACTTCTCACAAGAAGAAATTTTATGTCCTCCTTATTTTTGTTCTTCAGATAAGATGTGTGATCAGATAAGTGATGCTGTTCTGGATGCTCATCTTGCCATTGATCCAGATGCCAAGGTTGCCTGTGGTAAGCACAATGCAGTCAGAAAAACAGATTAACTAAGTGCAAGCAACTAATCTATGCCGATATAACATCTTCTATTCCGAGATACTTGCAATAGAAGGTGGCTGGCAGTCAACTGCCAGTAACAGTCAACAACTCCACAGGCGAGAGGCTGACCCTCGCGTGCTATGTGAAGAAAAAGCAGGAAATAAAGCTGCAAAAACATGGCAGGAAAAGGAAATAGAGTATTCCATGCAAGTTAAAAATGACCAAATGTATGGTTGAAAGGGCTACAGATAACGAGGAGTACAAGAAAAGTGGGGGAGAATTGAGGGAAGATATATATCAAGGCATATTTCTTGATATAGTAAGTAAAATGTGTTAATACAACTTGAAATCCAGAAGTATTAAATGTGTATTTATCCTGCCTTTACAGAAGCAGGGTGATGCTGCTGGTTCACAGTAAGATGAAGTGCACAATTCACTTGAATGTGACTCTCATTGCACTGATTTACCTTTTCCTTGGGACATTGTCTTAGGACAACTCTACACTATAGAGACATTGTCACTGTGCAACATCTCTTCCAAATGCTAAAAACAAGTCATTAGAGGACAGCACAGCTGCCACTGGGACATGAACACTGATAATGGGAATATTTCTAAATGGGAGTGTTTCTAAAAAGCCACCTGAATGCAAAGTCTTTGGTTTCTTAGAAGGAATTGTAACTCTCTAGGCAGAGTTACAGATCAGAGGGCTAACTGCATCCCAGGAATATGATCACCTAACATGACACTTGGTCAAAAAACATCTCATGTGATCCTTGGAAGCATAGCCGTGAGCAGCAAGAAGTGGAGAGAGGGCCTAACATCTGTATTTGACTGAGTGGAGCACGTATTTGGGTATTGCATGATGCTTCAAAAGTGCTAAAAGCTGAAGAGCATCTTAGAGGAAATCTACAAAACTGACAAGGATGGAAAAAAGGCGTTTTAAGAGATGTGAGAAATAGGATGAGTTTGTCTTACCAAATGGAATACTATGGTGTGACACGATTATTTATGTAAAGCTCTGATTTTTGTAGCCAGTTGGGAAAAAAACAGCAAAACTTCTGAGTGGAGTCAGAAAACTTGAATTAGCATTAAAGCATAAGTCTTCAGGTTGCTTAGGCTCACATTTTAATTAAAAAATAGTGGATTGGAAAGTAGAGAGTAGTTAGACCACTGAATACAGGGTTTCCCTGGTGAAACTTAGTGTCTTGTGCAGAATTTCTCCCTTCTCGCACAAGGCTCTGAGCTTCTGGAAAAACATAAAAAAACCAAAGCATTAAATAAATATAAAGTAAGGAAATTAACCAAACTATGATGTGCATTTTGCAGAGATGTTGAAACTAGGTTCTATCTATCAGCAGACACAAGTATCTGTAAAATTCTGTGAATTTTATTTTCTGCTTGGTCTTCAGCACCAACCAGTTTTGCAGGTGATGCTCTGAGATGCTTCATTCCAGCAGGACAGAGCTGGACTGTCAACGTGCTGCAAACATAATGTTAAGCAGTAGTGCAAGTGGTATAAGACAGAATAATTATTTTAATTCTTCTCTAAGTAGAACAAAATCATGTCTTGAAACGTAGTTGTCCTTCCTAGTGTACCCAGTAAATTGAAGAGAATAATAGCTAACCAGACACCATTGGTACATGAAAAAAATGGAAATTTTTACCTATTACTGGAGTTCAAAATGATCTTTGGGCGATATAAACCTGTAAGAAACAAATCCTTCTAGGAATCAAAAATCTTATGTGTTAACTTTCCCTTAGGTAGAACAGGCGGAGGTGTTTCTTGTAGTATTTGAACTTGAAATTATGTAAGGAAGATGATAAATGGAGGGCAAGAGTGATCGATGAAATTCACTGTTGACTAATGCAAAGGAAGCAATTTTAACCCAACAAATAAGGAAAAGTGTTTGGAGGTGATTGCAGCCACTCACGAGTGAGGGTTTGGGGTTATAATAAACTTGTGTTTCTGTGAAAATGGTCTATAGTAGCTAGAAACAGACACAAAATGTTTGGTATTACTGGGAAGGGAGTGGAGAGCAAAATAGAACGTAATTAAGGCGCTATATAAATCTATGGTTGTGTCTGTCTTGAATACTGTGTGCAGCCGCATTCCTTATTCCACAAAAAAGGCTATAACAAAATCATAAAAAGTATGAGGAAGAGCAACAAATGTGGTTATTATTGTAGAATGGCTTCCAGTGAATAGCATAGGCCTCTTCAGGCTGAAAGAGATGGAATGAATTAGGTATGAAATACATATATAAGGTTATATGTGTTATATGGATATGGTAACTAGAGAGTAATTGTTACCTGTTTCAACATAAAAAGGAGAAGGCAAGATAGGAAACTTGTGGCCTGGGTGGGCATTTAGAAAAACAATATGTGATTATTTGCAGAGAATTTACAATGAAATTGTGGAGCTTCTTGCTGCAGGATGCTGTAAACGCTGAAAGTGAACCAATTAATGTAGCAGTCTATCCATGGCTATTAATGCCAGCTGTTAATACGTGATACTGCTTTATGTTTAGAAATCCTAACTGAAATTGCTGGAGACTGGGAAGCACTTGGAGAAACAGTGCTATGCACATGACCTATTCTTATGGCTCACCATGGACATTTGATGCTGGCCACCATTTAGATAGGATAACTGAGTTAGATGGGCTCAATTATCATCAAAACAAAGTGGTTTTAATGTTTGTATTGGGTAGAGAGGAGAGTAATTGTATACAGAACTATATACATGCTAGGATGTTGCTCACAGTTCCCCTGTGAGCACTCAGTTGTTTAGAGAACCCTCCTCAGAACATGATTAACTCTACATCTTTCTTCAACAGAGTGTGTAGCAAAAACTGGAATGATTTTGCTTTGTGGAGAGATTACTTCCCAAGCTATAGTGGATTACCAGCAAATTGTCAGAGAGACAATTAAGAACATAGGGTATGATGATTCCTCCAAAGGTGAGTGAGAGCCTTCATGTGTTCCTTCTCAGATCTGTTGTGCGCACAGAACAATGCACACAGTCATGTTTTTAACCTTCGATGTGGCAACTTGTAGGATTATACAGAGTATCTAAGTTCAAGAGCCCAGGTTTCAGCTAATACCTTGAACTTGTCCATGCCCTGGATATCCTGTGACAAGAATTTACTCATGCTATATGCTTCCACTGACAATAGAAAATAATCCTGGCATAGGAAATTTGAATTTAAGTCTTGGGAAATATGAAAGCATTAGCCAAGATGACTAGGTAATCTGTAAAGGCTTCTCTGGTAGTTTGTGAACTTTCCAGCTTTCAGCTAATTTTCTAATATTTTCTTCACTAGGATTGGACTATAAGACTTGTACAGTTTTAGTAGCTTTAGAGCAGCAGTGCAAAGAGATCAAGCATGCTGTGTCCCATGGCAAGAGTGATGATGACATTGGAGCAGGGGATCAGGTAACGGGGCGTTTTTCCATAATTAAAGTAGTACAAACATGAAGGATTACATTTGTAATGGATGAGAATGAAAAGCCATCGTCTGTGTTAAAATTAAAGAACTTATGGCCAAATACTGCGCAGTGTGCTAATCTCAAGTGCGAAACTGTGGCCTTGACTAGTTTCTAGGAAAGCAGCTTTGCCTGTGTGCAGTGGCCCTACTGGACAGTACTGCATTTAAACCTTTCATCTGTAGGTGGCGGGGCTGGGCTGTCAAGTCCTTAGCATGCCTGTTTTTTGCATCTGAGGAGTCAAATGCTGTGTTTTTGTGGGTTTTTTTTGTGTGTGTGTTTTGGTCAGAAGTGAGGAGAGGGCTAAACAAGCTTTTCTTGAACTCTCTGTCTATTAAGTCTTTACGGTGGATTCTTAGCACAGAAATATTCTTGGAACAGACTCCATACTCCTGTTAGAAGGCACTGTCCTGCATGCAGATGCACAGATGTTATTATTAAGGTAGCTATACAGCATAGTGTATCCAGGCTCCTTGTTGCTGCTGTCTGTTTCTGGTCTTGGATAGTTTTAGACTAAGTGGCAGAGACAGACACAGAAGTGGAAACAGACTGTGGAGATGAGCGGCTTCGAGTTACGCTTTGTATTTCAATGCAGGGCCTGATGTTTGGCTACGCCACTGACGAGACGGACGCGTGCATGCCCCTAACAGTCCTGCTGGCACACAGGCTGACTGCACGGATAAAGGTGCTGGGCCGCGACGGGACCTGGCCCTGGGTTAGACCCGACGGGAAAACACAGGTTCGTAAGGAAGGTGCATGTACAGGAGACCACAAACTCCAAGAGGGAGAAAGAACATAACAGTTTTACTCTGTCAGCTGCTAAATCAGAATTCTTTTCTTCTCTTTTTTTTTCTTTTCAAAAATGGTGGTGACAGTTTTATATTTCAAGTTGGGATGACTTTATTAAAGTGCACTTGTATATAACATGCATTGTTTGCTTAAGGTGTTCTATCAGTATCTTAACAGTTTTCTTCAGAATAACACTATTTTTTTTTCACCTTTTTCCCCTGGAGATGAGGATGACTGATAAATTGCTGTCAACCAGCTATTTTTTTTTAAGTTTTGTTTTGATTTGTTTTTCCTGGAGAAATGTTCCAGAAGCGTGTACTGAGATTGTGCTATGGTTTCTCAATTAAAGCATGCCTCTTCTTTTGTCAAACCTCATACTTGCTATATTTGATCTGTAGCCAGAGCCACTGACAGCTACAGAGCTGAATGGATAAGTCTGTGTGCTGCGATTTGGGTGTCTGTGAGGCTGTAAATCCTCCATCTTCTGAGCTGTGAAATCTCTAGGAATGGGAGGGAAATCTGCACATGTGGCACTCCTGGGAGAGCAAGGCATTTTATTCTTAATTTCTATTGCATTAGTGGCAGTGAAATGCATTAACTTCTGTACTGCTACAGTTGTGGCCGTGCAACATGTGGTGTGTCCCAAATAGTACTTTTTGTCAGCAGGGCAGGGAAGAGGTGGATAGACTGACTGTTGTGTCCTGTAACTGTCCAAACACTTCTGAGAGACAGAGAAGTTGAGAGGTTTTCCTTACCTGTAAGAATAGCTGTATTAAGGATGGAAAAACGCAAGCACAAATATATGTGTCTATAAACGCCTGCACCTACATTACAGTTTGCAAAGGAATGTTGCTTTAGACAGATCTCCATTTTTGGCTGTATTTGTCATGCACAGATCAGCATTACTTTCAAAAGGCAGGAAAGGATCTCAGGATTCCATTAATCAGAGCGAAATCCAGCTCAGATCGTGCTCAGGCATTCCACTTAATTTCAGTACAGTATATCAATATCAATAGTAGAGAAATTGTAACCAAAGGTTTCTTGGTGAAATTTTAGAGGAACTTAGAGGAAGGAGCAGATGTGGCAGAGATGCTATTTGCCTAAGACTTTAGCATCTGGAAGAATGAGATGCTGCATAGGAGACAAACAAGAAACACTCCATGTGAGAGGAAAAAATTCAGCTTTAGCTTGAGTAGGCACCAAAGACAGCTGCTGGTCACAAGACATCAATCTGTAAAACGTGGGCTAGTTGTGGCATTCACAGAACAACTTGCTTTTAGGTTACTGTGAAATTTTGGTGTTCAGCCCACCGTACCATGCTCTGCAGTTACTCCTTTTATCCAGGTCCTCCAAAATTTATTTGGGCCCAACTTCGAAAATCCCCTGCTTGAAGTTATGTTAATGTAGGCAAACTGTGAATGGTTTTAGCATCTGACAGAAAAAATCCCAGACTTCTGTAGCTTTCTTACTGTTATTTTGCTTCTCTGTGGCAACATATGAATCCCATCCTTAACTTCATTTGATAGAAGTTCTACAGTACTGTCTGTAATTTTTCTTACAATTCTTTTAAGTGTCAGCAACAATCCAGCCCTTTCATCCTGTTTCCCCTTTTTTCTTCCTGCAAAAGAAATGTGAGGTTCATTTTTTAAATTTCAGAGTGCTGTTCTGCCTGAAGAAGAGTGCGGTGAGCATGCTCTTGACCTTGGAAAGTGACTGCTCTTTTTTCTTTTCCAGGTCACAATGGAATACAAGGAGTGCAATGGAGCAGTGGAGCCCATCCGAGTGCACACACTTGTGGTCTCAGTACATCATGCTCCGGATATACCTGTAGAGCAAATACGGAAGGAGCTAATGGAGAAAGTTGTTAAAGTAGTAATTCCAGAGAAGTACCTTGATGAGCACACGATTTATCACCTCCTTCCAAGTGAAAAGTTTGTAGAAGGGGGTCCTAAGGTATGGTACAGCCTTGGGTAGGGGACAGCCTAAACACACTTGGATTGTGCTTTGTTACATACATCTACATATTCTCTTGCACAAAAGTGTGATGAATTGGTACACCTTTAACTAAGATAATCTACATTTCATCATTTCACTTGAGATATCCCACTGGGCGTCTGATTTCTAAACTGAAGCTGTATCTGCTTGGGCAGTCAATTGTAGAAATACTTGGGTTTTTGTCTTGCCTAGAAGATATATGACTAAACATTTGCCCTTCAGTTGGCCCTTTATTCATATACTAGAATGCTTGACTTGAAGCATCTGTTTGCTTTCCCAGTAAAATTTAAAGAAAAAGTAAAATTTAAAATATGTGTTCAGAAAGCTGCACAACTTTTAGTGAATTCTGTGTATAAAACCTTACTGTTCATTGGAATTTGACACTTATTCAGCTTTCCAGTTGCCAGTGACTGGCAAGGGCTAGGCAAGTAGGTGACCGCTATGGAAGAATAAGAAAATTGGCTAAACAAACCCCTCTCATTCTGTGTTAAATCAACGAGGGACAAAAACTGCCAGATGTGTTTGTGATCACAGTGGGATGATGTAGAGATGACATAGCCACCTCTGAGGTAGAGAGCTGGGTAGAGGAAAGGAGAGGTACTTGAGAACTATTGGGTAAACTCAGCTATAATGCAAAGTTCTCTCATGCAGGACACAGACTGAGGCACAGACCTGTGAAGTCCCCCATTCCTCTCTCCTATTTATTTTATTAGTGAAAGCTGCTAATCTGCTAGGTAATAAGTGTTTCATTTTTCAGCAGTGCTTTTGCTTCCATAAACTTTTGGCCTCAAACAGGTATTACTGGGAGAAGTCAGTGTCCACTAATCCACAGGCCAGTTCAAATCCACAGGATTTGAACACACTTTTTGTAATACTTACAGGTGTTTCCCATTAACATGAGCTTTCAAATATTATTGCAGCACTAATGGCTTAGTACATGTCTGAAAAAAAAAATTAACAAAGCAGACCGTATTCATTAAATTGTTGCACGAGAAGCCAAGCCCTGTGAACAATCAGTGATATCTGGAAAACCCAAAACAGCCCTATCCAGTAGCCAGGAATGGGCTTGGGTCAGCTGCTGTGTCTCGTGACTGCTTTCAACCCTTTGTCCCGCAGAGCGATGCTGGGCTGACTGGCAGGAAGATCATTGTTGATACCTATGGAGGCTGGGGAGCCCACGGAGGGGGCGCTTTCTCTGGAAAAGATCCTTCCAAAGTTGATCGCTCTGCAGCATACGCAGCTCGCTGGGTTGCAAAATCTCTGGTGAAAGCTGGCCTCTGTAAAAGAGTATTAATCCAGGTAAGTGCAATGGGAAGAGTAATCCATCCCTGCACCAGGCTCTTTTAGCTTCATTCTTGCTTTTACTTCCAGTGGCTCCAGTGATCCTTGCACCTGCTGTAATGTGAACTCACACACACTCACTGCACTGCAAACCAGGCTGTACCAGCACATCACAGACACTTAGGTTAGCAGTGATGCTGTTTGCATAGCCTGGTGTGTTGGGTGGCCAGATTAGCTGTAATTTAAGCAATTTCAAATGAATTTCAATTTCAATTATATTTGAAATTAAAATTAAGTTACTGTGGGTTCCCTGTTATACTATTAATATGTTAATACTACTATACCAATATTACTATGCCAATGTCCTACAGTGTAAGGTGTAACTGAAAACAAAAATCATTGTGCAAGACCTGTTAAAACAAGAATAGATTTCTTCAGTTGTAACATTTAGAATAAATAAAGTTCCTTCCTTATATGTGAATACTTGGGACTACTAAGTAAAACAAATATAAAGAAGTGTTTTACTTGCCCTCAGACAGTTTCACCATTAAATGTGAACAGAAAGAGAATGCAGAACAACTAAGGTGTGTCTTGGCAGTTTGCAATGGTAGTTTATGTGCTGCTTCAGTAAAAAGCAGCCATAACTTATCTTTTGCTGCAGAGCTGTGCCCTTTCCTTTCTCATGGACCGGAAACTCAGTAAATGTGGTTGTGATCGACGGAGTACCCAGACATCCCTGTTAGGAACAAGGCCTCCTGTGTAGGCATTGTGCAGATGTTTTACACCTCCTCAGAGGTGAAGGAGTAAGACAAGGAAGGGGAGTTAGGGAAGAGGCATGGAACAAAAATCATTGTTAGCAAAGGGCTGCGGGGTTTGTTTCCTGACAGGACAGAGGATAACCTCTTGGTATGCACATTCTGATTTTTGAATCCACACATCATTGGCTTAATTCTTGAGTTAGGTAGGAATGTAGTTATCCACTACTTTTCAGAGACCCTCCTTAAATATCTGAACCTGCTTCTAGACACAGCAAAACTTAATTCGTTATACACACCCTATGGAGATACCTAATCATAGAAATGGAAATAAGAAACAAGAAGGGAAGACAGTGAGAGAGCAGAAAATAAGAGATTGAGTGAAGTGGTGGAAAGTTGGATCCAAGATAAATTAAAACAAAATACATCAAATTTGTCTGCACAGAATTTCTGTATAAGTCTGTTTCCAGCCCAGCTGTGACCATGTGCTGTAGTAAGACATGCTCTGCCTCTGCTGGGGCTAGCAATTGAGCTGGCTGTGCTATGATTATTATTTCTATACTAACAAGCTTTTACTACTGAAAGAGCAACCCAGATAATGCAGGGAAGTATAGACTGATTATGTTGTCACAAACACCATGTAGGTTTTATTTAGTATGATAAAAATGATCAACTTCTTGGTTAATGAAAAACAGGCAAAACTAGCTAGTGGAGATGATTAGGACAGTTTCTGACAAATCAGTATTTTGTTCCTAAGAAGTATATAAATAGAAGTGAGCCATCTGGACTATTACTTCTTGGTACATGTAGAAAGCAGAGACAATGAGGAAGATGAGTGGCAGATGCAGAATGGTTTGTATTGCTTAGTCACATTCTAGCAAAACGTGTAGTCATCTGAATATATCATGAGGAAGGAAAAATAGTGTGTGTTTCCCACAGGGCTAAGCTATACGCTACATAACAGAAGTAGTATATCTTGGAAAGGGATTGAATGATCAAGGCAAATACATTTCAGGAAAATCTGCCCATGCTGGGCTGTTACTTTGGTAACTACTTCATGAAAAAATAGTTTTTGTAATTTCGTCTTGAAAAGTACACGGAAATATTGGCACAAATTCCAGCGACTGCATGGAAGTAAATCAATCCAGAAAAAAAACAGTCTTTGGACAGGACGTCTTAGGAAGGCTGGTATATTTGGAAGGGAAGGATGACTTGATTGCTATGTAGACACATTTATGTGTAGAAGACTATCAGTGAAGAACTTTGTGGTTTTGCTGGGAAAGATGTAGAAAAAAGTGGTGGCTGGAAGTTCGCACTAGAAGGCTTTGTCTTATATATAAGTTAAATGAATCTGTCTTTTAATGGCTTTTCTCCAGCTCTGGGAGAAGTCCCTACGTGGGCAGAGGCCAAACCAACGGGTCTCGTGGGCTAGGGAGAAGATCAGGGTCCCAGTAGGTGGTGATGAGGACACACAAAGACAGAACAAGAGGAAACTGTCACAATTTGTGGTAGCTTTTCACCATGAGGGTGGATAGACAGTGAAACAGGGTGGTCATATTCTGTTTCTTCCTGCCTTCATCTGATGTACTCAAAGTGAACCAAATAATGGTGCTCTGGAAAGGGGATGTGAGTGCGATAAGCAGGTGTAAACATTTTTTGCATCTTTTCCTATATATTTTTTCTCCACCTCAATGAGAATTGGAAATGTTGGCAGTTCTCAGACCTTCCTGTCTCAGCAGCACGGGGTGCTTGGATCTAGTTGAGATAAATGATGCAGCATGGCAGTGTTTGAAGATGATTGGAAAGCATCCCTTTAAGTCATGTTTAAGTCATGTAGGTCAAATATTTTTCCTAACTGATCATTCCCTGAAGATAAATGATAATTTTCTAAAATAAATAGCATTATTAGCAGACAAATAACAAATTAGCAGACAAATAATAATTATCAGACAAATAATAAATAGCAGACAAATAGCATGTGCACATCTAGCTTTGCTTATACAGGAAAAAAAAAAAAAAGCACATGAAATCTTCCCCTGATAAGCAATATGCACGTCTCTTTTTGCTTAAGCACAAATGTTTTAACTGTTTCTGGGTTTTGTGCAATGCCCTACAGCTATCATACGCTATTGGTCTGAGTCATCCTCTTGCAATCTCGGTGTTTCATTATGGCACGTCAGACAGATCGGAGGAAGAACTGCTCGAGATAGTACAGAAAAACTTTGATCTACGCCTTGGAGCTATCATAAGGTTTGTGTGCCATTATTATTTACTGAAGGGAATAATTTGTATTTCTTGTGTTCTCTTAAACAGTTTAATATGAAAGATTCTGGCTCCTAACCTGGTTGATGACACCTTCGTCCTATGTCTGTTGTATCTACTCTTGACATGCACCCAGTAAAAGATAAAAAGCCATTTCTAAAACCTGTTTACAAAATGTTTTGAATAAAGAAGACTAGTCTAAATTACATCATATAACATCTCCTGGTAACCACAGAAGAGTGCTGCTTGTTGCAGCTCACTAGCCAGGTTGTGTTTTGCTTGACAAAATATAATTAAAGTTTAACAATGACTGTACTTAGGCTTTCCAAATTGCCTGTTAACAGGGTATATAAGGCTTTTGCCTTATCTGGTGAGGATTCAGAATGTTGCTCTAACCAAGAAGTAAGTATGGGCTCCCTGCCTCTCTTTTTTAAGCTGGAAACAGCATGTGACACAACTGCCACATGATGGCAAGATGCTGGTGCCCTCACTGCACAAGCAGCCCCACTAAAATCAGCAGGACATTGGAGTTCAGTAATTGCCTTTCTGTTGTACTGAGTTGTTGTGCTCTTGTACTGTGTTGTGCCGAGTGCTGACCTACCAAATTAGTGTCAGGCTGGTGTTTGCTGTTGCTTTTCTGGAAATACTGGTCATTTGCCCAAAATAGGAAAGAATACTTCCAAGAAACTTTACTATTATTATTATTGCTAAATCCATGTAATCCACATTCTGATTCAAAAAAAACCAACAAATCCTAGTTGCCCCTTGTTTTCACAGAGTCCTGTGTAGCCCATGTAAAGTTAATTTAATTTAAAAGGAATTCAGATTTTTTAAATTCTCTTCTAAACCTCTGGAAGCAAGTGAAATACTGTATGTTCTTATAAAAACAAAAGAAAAATCCCACTGTGATTTGAGCTGTCCTAAAGTGAAAGTTCATTTGTAATTAGAAATGTATGAGTTACTGTGGCTGCCATGCAGTCAGTAAGGACAAGAAAACACAAAGCTACTTAAGCTGTTGCCTGCAGCCAACCCAGCTACATTATTTCACTATTTCTGCAGCTGAGTAAGCAAATGCTTTAATAGACATAATCCTTGCGTTTATGGAAGCATGTGGGTTTCCATTTTCTGAGAGAAAACTATTTCTTGACTCTTTTCCACCAAGCTTGACAGGCTGGGCTTCCTGCAAGTTTCATGTCTTGTTCAACTAGTGGAGAGAAATGTGGTTTTCTCCATTAAGGAGGCAGCCATACTGAGTTCCTCCTTAATAAATACCATAGAACTGACAAGAGAAATCAAGTCTGAGGTACATGTCTAGAGGAGATTAACTCCCGCACAGAGGAACCAGGTTGTTGCTTTAGGCTGTGCTGGTTTTAAAACTCTTTGCTCCAAAAATGCTGGCATACATGTTAGCTATCTTATTACTGGAAGAAACAGCTTGCAAAGGTTCATCTCTCTTTTAAATTCAGAGATATTAATATTTATTAATATAATTCTAGTCTACCCATTCCACATGACTCTTGAAAATATTTGTCAATATCTTGCAGAATAGGAGGTGTCTTTTGTTCTTTAAAAATGACGGCCATTTCTGCCAATCAGTTAAATTTTGCTAGTGAGACCAACCCTTTCTGCTTGCTTTTAAGAATGTTTTCTGAACATACCTGCTGAGAGTAGAGCTGACATTTCTTTTTTATATTCTCAAATAATACAAGGGATTATGTTGGTTTCCACTACTAGGTAATGTTTTCCAGGTGTCTTTGGTTTAGAAGTATAACCAGAACTCTGCTTTTGTAATTATGTCAGTTCACCCTAAGTTATTTTTGTGATCGCTCCCAGATACTTTCCTTGATGTGGTGTGCCAAAAAAAAAGCCGCGTTTTTCAAGTACATTACCTTAACCATGCAAGTGCTGAAGGGAATGAGAACAGAACAGGCAAAAACTATCGTTGAGGCACTATATCTTTGCTACACTCTACCTCATAACCTTTAAAATTCTTTGAATAGTATCTGTTCTAATCAACTAAGCACTACAGTGCTTGAAGTTGTTCTATTTTTCATATAGTTGTCACTCAGATTTTTGGTGGATTGGTGGATTTTTTGTTAGAGGCAGGTGCAATGGACCTTACTAGTCATTACAGCATGTGCTCATATTACACCAAATATTATTCAAAACAAGAATTAGCTGCTATGCATCACATTATGCAGAAGTGTCCTCTCAAGTGCAATAACGTTTAATTTCTTCACCATCTGAAAATGGATTATCCTGTTCCTCTTGGATTTGTTCGTCTTTCCTTACTTTATTATTCCTCAGCCATTTTTCTCACCACCAGCTTTAGATATTAAGTATCGACTTTTAAATAATAACCCAAAACATAACAACAAAGAGAAGAAAAGCCTCCAAATGTTTCAGGCTTTGCCTGAAATTAAAACAAAACAAAACAAAAATGTGGTAGACACTTGTGACACTGCATTATGCAGACAAAATGGTAATAATCATGACACATCTTCATTATTTAATCAAAAACAGTACTAAGCTCTATTGTAAGCAGTGTCTTTGTGTGCCTACATAAGCAGCTTTAAATTTCTAGTTACTCTGGAATCAAACAACTGGTGTCTGCAATTGGTACTGGTAATCCAGGCAGCAAATGTAAATATCGTAGTCCACTTTTAATTAAAACACTGGAGGAATTCATTCTGTGTGTGAAAGAGCTGTTGGATGATTATCTGTCCTCTAGATAATCATCTCTGGCAGCTTCATTTGAGACAATCATCATCACGGCATAGCAACATGATAAAATGAAGTGGCAATAAAACACCTTGAGGCTTGCACAAGTGCAGCTGAATTTTATTGCATTTTCAATGCTTCTATACTGTAATGTTTATAAAGGTTAACTACATACTTATCTCATCTCTGAACAATTGGAAAATGTAGCTATTTTGTGTTGAAATTGAAACCATTAACCAACTATGTTTCCCGCTGTAAATTCAGGTGATTCTGCAAGAAAAGCATGCAGCTAGCAATTCCATGGATAGATACCAGGCCTAACACTGGTTATTTCCTTGATGTATTTATATCATAATATACATTGTAGGAAAGTTAATTAAACCTTACATTCTTTTTCTTTTCATGTAGGGAGCTGGATTTGAAGAGGCCGATGTATCAAAAAACAGCATGTTACGGGCATTTTGGAAGAGAAGAATTTACATGGGAGAAACCCAAAAAACTTGTGTTTTAGACTTTTCAAAATATTTTGCTTAATCAGATTCAACTTTACTAATCAGATTCAACTTTAAGCTTCATGAAAAGATTGTATGTGGTCTTCTTTAAATGACATTCTGTAGCTAGTAGATGTATGGACAATTATTTATATTTAATTTTCAACTTCAATAGTGGCCTGAAATGCATGCCCTCCAGCTAAGAAACCCTTTGCTCTGTCTCTGTTATCAGAATGATCAATTTAGACCTTTGGCTGTGATCAGATGTTAAATGAAGAGCAGGCTGTGGAAGTTAAAGTGATTCGTGTCCCGCCAGGGAAGCCTCATGCTGCTTGGTCAGGTAACTTAGTCCAGTAATGGTGCAAATTCCATGACTACACCTTCTGTAATGGTTCTTCTGATCCCAGCAAATTGCTAAGGTATTTCAGAACACTGCCCGTTGTAACCCTAATATACGTTAGCAATGTGGTAGTGTTATCTGTTTGCTTTTTTCCCCAAGAGACAAAATTCAAAATACCCTAGCTTTTCTTAGAAGACTATGGAGGAATTAAAAGATTTATATATAGGAAGTAGCTATTCTGGTGAGCAGATTTATCAGCATATTGCAGTCTAAGAGAGAGTGTTGAAATGCTGTAACTGCTTTTGCTTAATACTAGGGAATTTTAATAAACAATTAAGCAAATACCTCTCTCCTTCCCATCAAAGGGATAGCATGGGCTTCAGCGATGTGTGTAATTAAATGCAAATAGTTTAATATAACACTAGTTTTGAACAAGTTTTCAAAAGCTTCCTTGTGAAGATTGATTGATCCAGTGCTCCTTCCATGGAGCAGAGCCAAAGCAAGGTCATGGTTCGGCAGCTCCAGTACATTACCTGGCCTGATACAGTCAACCTGATCTACCACAGCAGTGCTGCAGTCACTCTCGAGCCTTACAAAGGGCTCGTTTTATTATGAAAGGAACCTGAAAGTTCCTGGAATAAAAGCTGCAGTTTTCTTGCTAGATCAAGTATTCCTTTTTTAATGACAGGTTTCCCTTTGTATCAGAGGTTAGCTTAGACCCTTGCTTTGCCTGCAGTCCAGTGTAATCCAGTGTATGGCAACACGGTTGCAAAACTGCATTTAATCTTTATTAAAATAGACCAAAGCTAGTGTTGTCTACAAAATATTAGCATAGTTTGGTAAAAATTCTGAAAAGTCAGAAGAACTCACCCCCTGTCATAGCAGTATTGAAGTAAAATGTTTAAATGATGACAGGCTGCCAAGATTGTTATACAGTAAATGAGCTGCAATGATATTTTGAAAGGTACTTCCATAAACGGCCCTTTAGCCTCAATTTAACTCTGTTTTGAAACTTTACCCTGCCAAATTTGAATGGTGTTTTTGGTAGGAAACTGTGGTTATCGTTTTGTCAGGAGAAAAGCACATTTTGATAAAGTCTTTTGCTAAATTTGAAGAGGGAATGAATTGTTTTGTGGCCATGTTTCTTAAACTGAAAAAAAAAAAAAACCCAAAACCAAAAACTGTGCTAATTTTTAGACATCTGGAGTCTAAAAGAGATAAATTGGCCACGGGGTATTTGGACAGTAAGTATCTGCAGATCTCATCAAAATATGGTTCATCTTGCCCTTTGGCTTCCTGTAAAATTGTGTTGAGATGAAAGTTACAGACTTTGCCTCCAATGGCTTGAGTAGTTTTTCAGGGAATTTTTCTCAAGTACCTAACATTTCGTAAGAACAGATCAACTATTGGGATTCTCTGCTGTTGTCTTAGTTCCCTTAACTTGTGCAGGAGCTGCACTTTCTGGTCTGAGAGATGAAAAAATGTTCTGGACTGACACTGTCCTCTTCCACAGCCTCTGCTCTGGGGATAAATACATGTGTGCACTGTCTTCCAGGATAGGGAACACATTTAAAAAGAAGTGCAAACACTCCCTCCCCCCATCTACCCAAATAAAGGTTATTATTCACTGGCACTTCCCTCACAGTGAGATAAGAGAGAAGCAGCCAGAAGACAAATCCACTGGTAGCCATGTTCAGCCTGGAAGTGACTGCACACTGTGGGGTTGAAGTAACACAAGAACTTATGTATAATAAAACACTAATCAAACCATGCTATGTGTAACAGCAGTTCTTCTAAGTTTTAGAAAATGTATTTGATTGAGAATTCTAGAAACAAAGTTAATTGTTCTGGCATTTCTGTGATGGCAGGCATTTATTTCATTTATCTGAAAACTGTAAGGTAGTGGTGTCTAGAGTCTCTGCCAACTTTAGGGCAGGTGGGTCCAAATACACGAATATATTTAAGTGCCTACTTTCTATGTTGACATCTACATATCTTCCAATTGTCTATTTTTATAATAATTGTCCTAAAAACCCAGCTGCAATCAAATGGAACTGCACATTCTAACTCAGATCCGAGCTACTCACTATACATTCAGAAAATCAATGAGAATCAGGAACAAGTTTGGTTAATCCCAGTATCACACACGAGGTCAGAAGCGAGTTGGATTTCAGTAATGAGTAGTTAATTTTAACCATGTTGCCCGCGCAACTATTCTTTCCCTTGCTGTAGTTCTCCTATTTTCTTCCCTGCTGACTTTGTAGCTTTTGTAACTTACTTTGAGGCTGTGCATTCAAGTCATGCTGTATTGTCTTTTAGAATGCTAGTAACGCAACACTAAGCAGACAGGCCTTTCCTTCCCCTTGTCCTCGGCTTCGGTATCTGGTTTCGAGGCAGCCGGGAGCACCGGCACTGAGGAAATCCTCCCTGCTCACAGGCTGGAACAAGCACAATACATACTTATCATCCCCCGAGGTTCTCTGCAGTAACAAATCCTATAACAATTTTATTTATTTGTTATAATTTTATTTACTGAGGGTTCATACCTGCCCAATGTCATTTTTTCTAAAAAAAAGGAAAAGACATATAGCTTTAAAAAAGCAAAAAAAAAGCTACCTTTGCTAAATTTAAGTGCCTAAACCAAAGTCAGATATAAGCTAATTGCTTTATAGAAATAGTGATTTTTTTAGGAAAACTGGCAGATTTCCTACTATCATTTCAGAAATGAATCATTTAAATTTTAATAAAAAAAAAAAAAACTTCCAAAGCAGACACAGGTGCTGAGACTGCAGTTACTGTCTAAAGCTTAGCTGAATTATCATGTAGCCTGCCTACGAGGTAGGGACCAATCATAATATTTTTGTTTCCAGATGTCACAGATTGGCTTTATTAAATTTGGGAATGCAATTGTCAAATCTTAGAATCACAGAATGCCCAAGGTTCGTGACCCTGCTCACGCAGGATCACCTAGAGCACGTGGCACAGGGCTGCATCCAAGTGGGTTTTAAAGATCTCCAAAGAAGGAGACTCCACAACCTCTCTGGGCAGCCTGTTCCAGTGCTTTGTCACCCTCACAGTGAAGAAATGCTTCCTTAAGTTCCTGTGGAACTTCCGATGCTTCAGTTTGAAGCCATTTCCTCTAGTCCTATGGAACTTCCGATGCTTCAGTTTGAAGCCATTTCCTCTAGTCCTATCCCTGCCCACCACTGAAAAGAGGCCGCCCCCTCCTCCTCACTGCCTCCCTTGAGGTATTTATACACGCTGATCAGGTCCCCCCTCAGCCTCCTCTTCTCCAGGCTGAACAGACCCAGCTCTCTCAGCCTTTGCTCACAGGGCAGATGTTCCAGGCCCCTGATCACCCTCGTAGCCCTGCGCTGGACTCTCTCCAGCAGCTCCACATCCCTCTTGTACTGGGGAGCCCAGAACTTGACACAGTCTCCAGATGTGGCCTCACCAGGGCTGAGTAGAGGGGGATGATCACTTCCCTCGACCTGCTGGAGACGCTCTTCTTAATGCACCCCAGGATCCCGTTGGCCTCTTGGCCACCAGGGCACACTGCTGCCTCATGGTCAACTTGTCGTCCACCATGACACCCAGGTCCCTCTCTGCGGGACTGCTCTCCAGCAGGTCCACCCCTAATCTGTACTGGTGTCCAGGGTTATTCCTCCCCAAGGGCAGGACCCTGCACTTGCCCCTGTTGAACCTCATGAGGTTTCTCGCCGCCCAGTCCTCCAGTCTGTCCAGGTCCCTCTGGATGGCAGCACAGCCCTCAGGGCTATCAGCTACTCCTCCCAGTATAAAAAATAACAAGCTCCTCATTGAAACACATGGCTACCATGTAGTATGTGCCTTGCACATGATATATAAAGGCTTATAATCTATATAAGAAGAAAAATGATTATAATGACACATCATAATAAGAGAACATCATAGTCGGTGCACTGTGTTTTGGGATTTCAGCCAAAGTGTCATACTTTATACATTCTAAGTTAACAAAAAAAAACTTACATGAGTGAAAAATCTTTGAGTGAAAAACTTAGTTGAATCACTGACTAGAACACAACTATTAGTGACTATCCTAGGAAACGAAAATAGTTAGATAAGATAGGAGTTCCAAAAGCTAATGATTCTTTCTGGATTTTGTGAGACAGAATTAAACAAAAATGTTTCAGAAAGGGCATAGCTTCACTCAAACCAGACAAACCAATTAGAGCAGAAACTGAATGAAGAAGTGCCAGGCTGACTGCAAGAGTGACTTTCATATCACCACATCTTTTATTGGAATACTTTTTTGGGGGTCAAGAGATGACGTGTCTCTGCATTTAGAATGAGGACATCAAGAAGGGTCACCTTCTTAGTCTGCTCTGTTCCTTTGGTGTCAAAAGTTATCTTTGTGACTCACGCTTTTAATGTACATCACAAGAGCAACCACGCCAAAAAATACAGACTTTGGAGATGGGTTTAATGTTCCTTGTGAACTCTGCACTTTCTGAAATATATTTGCAGGCGCACTGAACCCAGACCTTATCTAGAACTCTGCAGACAGTATTTTATGTGCTAGTCCTATTTCCCTTGAATGGCACATAGAGAAATGCGACGTGGAGTACTATTTCATTATTATTTAATTCATTTAAATCCTAATGAGCTGAAAGCAATTACAGGATGGAAATTAAAATGCATATTTTTAGTACCTTCTGATAAAGGGAATGGGCTTTTCACTTAATCCCTCATTCCAGAGCTGCCCACTGCCTTGGCCTTAAGATGCTGAAGAAAATCCCCTCCTTCCCACATTCCCCTCCTGGGTTTTCTAAGGCTGATTTAGGCTGTGGAAGGAAGCGGAAAGGATGTTAAGTGTAAATGTAGAGGTGGAGCAGAGCTTTCTCACCAGGAACTCCGCTGTCCTGCAGTCAGCAGCCCTGCATGTCTATCAGAACAGGGAAGCAAGCTCTGGTACAGATGGTTAATCCCCCTTTCCCTCTGTTTTTTGTGAGGGATGACGTTGGCAGAAGAGACAGGCTTTACTGATCAAAAAAGAAGAGAAAAATAAAGAGGGATCTCACAGGGTATAGATAACAAAATAACAACCACCGTGTTACGTGTTCTAGCCAAGTCCTGCTGAAAAATGGAGCACTTCACTGCACTTTTGTCTCGGTTACAGATAAAAGAGCTCAACCTCAACACGGGGTGGGCCTTTCAAACGACAGACATTTCAAACCACATCCTACCGACTGGGTCTGTCTGACCTCTCCAGCGTAATCCTGAATCTTTAGAAAAAGACAGCTCAGTAAAATATTACCCTGCTATTCTTTCTGACTTCTGGGCCAGAAAAAGAAGGCATCTATGTCGTAGTTCTGCTCGCATACTTGTAGCAAACAGAATGCTAAATCCATTCTGATTTTTCTGAAAGTAACTTTTCGGCTTTTTACCCTACATAAGCCTGAACTGCTGCTAAAATAAATAGCTGAGATGTCTTGTCACCCTCAGCTGTTTCTTCCAGGCCTCGGGTCCTGTCTTATTCTGTGCTGAGGTAAATGATGACGCAGATCAGCCATTTTAGGGCTGATTGGCAAAAAAAAAAAAAAAAAAAAAAAAAACCAGCATGTAATAAAGGTCAGTGTAACCCAGGTCAATTAATCTGTTACTGAAGATACAGCAGAAGCTGCATCTAAACTGTAGGGTGAAGTTTCTCTTTTGTAAAATAAATGTTGTTGGAATAAAAATCAACTCCTCGATATTTAAAAATCAACTCCTCAATATTGCAGGATTCCTTCTGTGATTCGTCACAAAGCTCCTCGCTCCTCTTCCTGTACTCTCTGGAAGAGTCCTGGAAGAACGTGCAGGTGAATGACAGGGAAAGAGACAAGCCAGGACAGTGTGATGTAGCCATGTGAACTAGTGGCGTGGTCCAAAATTATTATTGCTTTTGCCTGAAAAAATTAAAAGGGAAAGTCAGAAATGAAAAGTGCGAGCAAGAGCAGGATGCTCCTGATGAGACTACGAGGCCTGATGTTATCAAACTGGTGGGGGTGTTGTGAACTCTGATAGCACCAGAGGTTCCTTAGAGGGAGGACTGAAATGGAAAAGCAGCAATAGGACTCTGGCCAAACAGGAGAACGTTCACCCCCTGGTATGCCCTTGGTAATCTAAAGGGCTTCTTTTTTTTTGGCATGAGATATAAAAGCATGGGATCTCAATACAAGTCTATTGACCTTTTAGGACTGCATTTCTCTGGTAAGGCACTGCAAAGCAGAAAAGGGAGCACAAACCACCACGCACCTACATTTCGGACACTATCATGAAGCACAGGAAGCTCTTTGTTCACAGATGATGATCAAGGAACACTGCTTTAAAATACGCATCTGCTCCTCTGAGCAGCAGAAAAAGGTCATGGCCATCCAAAATCTGCAATTTGGAGATCCCTGGCATGATCTCAAAAGTGATAGCTACTGACAGCGAGCAAATGGCTATAACAGAGGAGGAGTTTTGGAAGGAGCATCCTGCTCACTGTATGCTGTCTGTAACAAGAGGCTTCAAAACAACCTTGCGTTCAGTGACACGCAGCTATATAGCTTCATATATCCCTTACATAAGAGATTTTATCTTATATATCTTATATAAGGCTATATATCCTTATGCAGCGAACAGTTAGTCGCACCACGGATATTTAGCCTGGCACCTGCGGCCTCTGGGCCCCTCCACGACAGCACTGAGGAGCCCGCTGAAACGTCAACGTCCCCGCGCGGGAAGCCGAGCCCCGCCCCCTGCCCAACCGCCGCCCGCTGACCGTTAGGGGCGGGGCTTCCCCAGGAAAGGGCGGGGGCACGCCGCGGCGGAGGAGGCGTGGCCACACCGCGAGGGCGGGGTCACGCCGGCGGTGGGCGTGGTCGGCGCTCGCGGGGCCGGGCGGGTGGCTGCGAGCCCGAGGGGGCGTGTCCCGGGAGGGCGGTGGGCGTGGCCGTGAGGTCATAAATGACGCAGGCGTCCCGGAAGCGGCCCGCGGCGGAGGGCACGGTACGGTGGGCGAGCAGGGCCGTGCGGCCGGTAACCGTCGGCCGAGTGGCGGGGCCGGCCCCGCGCTCCCCGCTTCGCCGCCGCCCTCGCCCGCCCTCCCGCCCGCCGCCATGTCGCTGCTGCAGTCCGCCCTCGACTTCCTGGCCGGGCCCGGCTCGCTGGGCGCCGCCAGCCGCGACCAGAACGACTTCGTGGGGCAGACGGTGGAGATGGGCGACATGAAGCTGCGCGTCAAGCGCGTCATCGCCGAGGGTGAGCGCTAGGCCGCGAGCGGGCCCCCTGTGCCCTGACGTTCTTGCCCAGAGTCGCGTTTTCAGCCCTTTGGAAGGAAATTGGCATTCTTGAGGCGCGGTGCTTTCGCTGAGCTCGTGCATTGCGTGGTTTAAGCCCCAGTAAACCCTTATTCAGCACTGTTTCGTTTTCCTGTAAGCTAGTAAGGTGTAACCTTAACTTTTGCTTGAGATAGTTAACGGTGCTCGAAAACTGGGAGATTCAGGCTGAAAAAAAAAACAGTTTTTACATAGTGTGATTTAGGGAGTACTAACTCAAAAGCGTTGCCTGCCTTGTGCTTCTATGTACTGTGATTTTGGTTTTTTCAAATCCAGTGAGAATTGTGAGTGTGGTTGGTGTCAGCCCCAAAGGAGCTGTGGCATTCCCGTCAGGAGGAATCACGGGAATATCGCAGGAGGAATTTCAGAGGGTAATAAAGGGCATGACAGGAAGCCAGGTTAATGCAACTACCTGCTCTGTTTTGAAACATGTCCCTTATACTTTGCTTTGGCGGCAGCTTCCCAAGACCTGGCACAAATCTGCCAAAAGATGGGAATAAAGATGCCAATCCTGTCACCTAGAGCAGACCAGGAGGTGACCTCAGTCAAGAGTTTCCAAGAACTTATTTGTAGCCACGTTTTTCTTGTTTGTCTCGGCATCGAATTGTCCTAAATGTGAAACGTGCCTTGCTGTTTGCCTATCTTAGATTCAGATTTTCTAGCCAATATTTATCTGAGCTGAAACAGCCCTTAAACGTATGTGCAAGTGCAGGTGTAGCACTGTGCTGACATCTGAAAACTACGGGCACAACTTCCAGAAGAGCCTTGCAAGAGGGCTGCTGCATGGGTTCAGCTCAAATATTCCTCCTTTTTAGGGGAAACCTTTTTTAACTGGTCCAGGAAATACTTAGCTGCCTGGAAGCCCCATTTTCTATCTCTTTGCAGTGTATATACTCATCTGCTGGGTAAAATGATTGTGTGTCTTTGACATGTGGCTGTTGGGCATTTGCCTTAATGCAGAACTCGTCTGTCCTTTAAATGAGATTTTTTTATGCAGTCTTCCGTGCTAGGATTTCTAGCACTACTGTCTGAATTTGCTTTTCAAACCCTTGGTGACCTTTGTGTGATATGCCGAGTGTGGGAACCTGGCCTGTTTTGTGAGATCTCGTGGTCTGCTGTGTTTGAACCTTGTGTGAACAGAGATGGGGGATTAGCTTGTGAGTTACCAGAATGTAGCAAAACGTGGGGTTTTTCCCTCTGAATCTCATTCCAAGTCTGCTGCATGCTGTCCTACCTGGAAATCTGGTGTGCTAGAGCAGGAAGCTAAAAGTAATTGTGTGTGGGGGTGGGTAGTGGGGTATCCCCCTTAGGATCATATTGATGATCACCTCTGTGCATGAGGAGGTTGAGAGTGTCCCAGCATGGGCCACGTGCCCCTAAAATACTGTGTGTTCTCCACTGCCATTTCTCTATCTCCCTGTGGGTAAGAAATGGCAGAGGAAGCAGCTCTGGGCCTTTCCGTCTAATCCCTGCCTGTCCTTCATCCTGATGCTGGTTTCAGCAGGAGGAATGGCAGCTTTCAGAAGTTAATTTCCTGTTTCCTGCTCCTGGAAGTTGGCAGCATTTACCTGGACAGACAACCAGATGCGCTTGTTTTCCAGTTGCTGGAGGCTACAGGGTTTGGGGGGTTGTCTGTGTTGTGCGCAACATCCTTCCCTGTGGTCCTTTTAGGAGTTTATCTGTTAAGAGTGAAATTTGGAGGTGGATGATCGCATTTGTGGAGTGTCGTTGTCCCCACCAGGCTACATAATAAATAATCTAATCAGGTAATAAATCTAGGTTTGTAACTGCCTTGGTATCTAGCTTGCTGAGCTTATTCCTACAAATAAACCTTTGCCTGTAAATGACTTTAGTTGGTTTCTAGAGTACTGCTGTTAAATTTCATATATTGAATAGCAAATAGGTAATTATCAATAATGAGGCTAGAGTTTGTATTTGGTTGTGTTACTCAGTTTACTAAACTTCACAATAGAGATACTTGAATCATGAAGATGGTTCTGTGTCATAATTACAATATAAAATTACAATTCTCATCTTTGTCAACAGCTAATTCAAATGTAGGCGATTAATACTGGTGTAAGCTATGGTGCCTCATCATTCCTGATGAGTCAGGAATCACTGTTTTAAGAAGTGCAGGCTAAGATTTAGACTTTGTGTGAAATGGGACAGCAGTATCTTGACCAAAAAGTATGACTTAAACTTTGAGAAATTCACCCAGTTTCCAGTCAGTGGAGGAAGCCATGGCACTGAATTAGTAATGCTTGTCTTTAAAAGTATGTTGAGAGGTATAATGTGTGGTTTTGGTTGTGTGCCTGCTCATGCACATTGGCTGTAATGTGTTGAAAACCAGTCTACTGCTTTAGCCAGCTGTGGTCAGATGAGGATGGAGATTTTGCTGTTTGTGTTAACAGTCCAGATAGTCCAGACAAGTGCCTGACTGCTCAAAACATCTCAGACAAATCTTGTGAAAGGCACTTTCTTCCTCCTGATAAGTCTACGTGATATCCAACAGAAGCAGCTTAGAGTCCTGATCTTTAAGGTTGTATTAGATAGAGAATTTGTGGTAAAATGTCTTCACAGAACATTTTGTGAAGCAAGAGGCAAAATCTGTTGAAGATTTTTTTTTTTCAAGAGAGAATATAAAACTGCAGAAATAGAAACTTCAAGCAGAACAAGGCAATTTTAGGATTTTGGTCACTGACTAACCAGGCAAGCCTGAAAAATTTATATTCTAGAGTTCTACTGTGCTGCAATGGTAGTAAGATTAATTAAGATTAATTTCAAATTTATAAAAAAAAAAAAAAAATATACCAAGCACCAGTCTTCATGTCGTTCTTGTAAGTTTATGGGAAGTCATGAAGTTTGAAGAATTTCACTTGTGCACCTGCAGTTGTTTCTATTAAATTCCTTTGCAGCTGGCTTTCTGCTAGACAACCTGTGCAGAATTGAATGCTATTGATTAGTTTTCACAGCAAGTTGCAAAAGTGGGATAAGGAGGACTAAACTCATTAGGCTGTTTTACATTTTCTCTGCTGCAAATCTGGCTTGTAATTTTAATACTTTATAGTATGTTTTGTTTGTTGTTCTACATACCCAACTGAACAATAGGGAACAAACCAGATTTATGGTTCTGTGAAAAGCAGGGAACAAAGTTCTGTAGCACATGCTCAGCTTGATGGTTCTTCATGTCTGCTGCTTCTCATGCTTCCTCTGAGCAACAAACAAGAGTGTAAGAATGAGACCGTGGAAGAAGAGAAACATTTTCAAATTTGACGTTATTTAGATTGTTTAGAGTCTAAAAATTTCACCATGAAGAAAGCATGCTTTGGCAGTGATAGAGGGCATTACTGACTACTAACCTCTCATACCATCAGTTTTTAAATCTGAAAGCATTGGGACCAGGTAGGTGACTTATCAAAGGCTACATTCTGCTAAAGTGAGAACTGTCATTGACACGTCAGAAAAAAATCAGCTTTAGCCTGCAAGACTGTGTCATCAGTTTACTAAGAATTATAATTACAAATCCAGATTCTCAGTTGCAACTCTTAGATTGACAGGGCAGTGGCAATGTAAATAAATGCTGGGGTTTTTTTGCGGATAAAATTCACAGCTCTGAGCAGTAGAGGCACAATGAACACTTAATCCTGTTTTGGGAAATGTTGTTAGTTTCATCTGCTGGCAGATGGTAGGAATTACTGCGAAGCTCCTATCAAGGGAAAGGAGCAGGGTACAAAATGCAGTGAAATTAAGGGTGATCTGACAATTCTTTTGCAAACCATGTGAGGCAAACCTCTCAGAAGCAGGAAGAAGATTAAAATTCTGTAAAGAGTCAAGGTGCCTAGAGCCAGTAGCTTTTCTGTTGACCTTCCTTATGTCGTTCCCATAGAGAGGCATGAAGAAACTCAGTGATACACTTGTTGGATGCACCAAGTAGTAGTCCAGGCTAGAAATAGACTTTATTTTGAGCAATGATCAAAACACATTTTTTTTTTTTTAAGGAAACAAGTCAGACAGTTCTTGAGTATCCAGTCATATCAAGTGTTAAAGGCTGGGAGTTACTCACGTGGTCCCTTTCTCATGACTAGCAGGTGTGTCATGAGCAGCGCATTGCAGTAGCTCTTTCCTCCTATGGTTGATGTCCCTCTGGATCAGAAGCTCCACTAGTGGACAAGCAGGAAGAGCTTCCTTTCTGAAACAGCTTGCCTGAGCACATAAGGGAAGATGGATAAAATACAGAATAAATGGAACTTCTGAGCACTGTTTTCCATCTGGAGTGACCTGTTGTGCAGTGAACTTGCTTGGTGTTGTGGAATGCTGTGGTTTCTATGTCAAAAATAGCAGCTTGAGGCAGCTTTTGAGTTTGAGCTGTGTTTTGGGAATGGACTGTGGAGTGCTTCAACCCTGAAAAGGGGAGTCTCAGGGTAAGACCTGACAGGAGTGTAGAAGCTGATTAACCAGGATTTGGAAGTCAGTTTTATGCTGATATTAAAAAGACTTGGAGGACTGCCTTAAATATGGATACAAATAACCAGAGAAAACACCTGAAACAGAATTATATTGTAATTATACCCTGTAAAGTGGTACTGATGTTAGATGCTCTATTCTCAACTTTCATTCCATCATAATTATTGCTTGAGTCTACAGTCGCGTGGAGAAGAGGAGGCTGAGGGGGGACCTGATCAGCGTGTATAAATACCTCAAGGGAGGCAGTGAGGAGGAGGGGGCGGCCTCTTTTCAGTGGTGGCCAGCGACAGGACTAGAGGAAATGGCTTCAAACTGAAGCATCGGAAGTTCCACAGGAACTTAAGGAAACACTTCTTCCCTGTGAGGGTGCCCGAGCCCTGGCACAGGCTGCCCAGGGAGGCTGTGGAGTCTCCTTCTCTGGAGATCTTCCCAACCCACCTGGATGCTGCCCTGTGCCCCGTGCTCTGGGTGTCCCTGCTGGAGCAGGGGTTGGACTAGATGAGCTCTAGGGGTCCCTTCCAACCTTAAGCATTCTATGAATAGGGATGTTTGTTTTTGCTGGTATGTTGATAAAGGGGTGTGATCCCTGGCTGACATTACGGGCTCTGAAATCCTCTGTAGACGTAGTTAAACAGGTGAAACTGCATTTTTCCCCACATATGCATTTTTGCAAATTACATTGGCCAGAGAGCCTGGAATAAACTCCAAAAGGTTCTGAAAAGTTCAACATTTAGTATTCTTTTACTGTATTTAGTATTGTGGTGCTTCAAAAATTAAGTGCAGTAGCTAGAGTAAAAGTGCATCCTTGAAGCTACTTGTGTACCCTCAGGCTCACTGTTCTAAAAAAGTTTCCTTTCAGACTGTGCTTTAAATGGCACTGTAGAAACTGTGATTTTGCTACATAACTAATACTAGGAGCTCTAGCAAACCGTGACCACTGAAGTGACAGGGCCTGGCTCTGAGAAAGTTTCTTCTTTAGTTTTGCATTTTTTAGCCCATGCTGTGAAAACAGCATTTGAACTAAGTGCCTTCTGGTGAGACTGCAAGCTCAGTCACAACAGCTTAAAACCTTAGGTTGGAAATTTTATATGCGGATTTCCCCACATTTCCACAGAGATTGCTTGTGATTCACTTAAAGTAATACATGCCTTCAACTACACAGAGCTTGGTTGAGCTTCTATTTATAAAAATAATTCATTATTTTCAAATAATTTGTATTGCTCAAGGTAACCACTTTTACTGCTTATCTGAAGTGAATACTTGGGATTTTTTATGTTTATTGACACTAATGACAATTAAACATTTGGAAGTAGCTATACAGCTGGATTTAAAGTTTGTGCAGTTTCCTAGATTTCACTACTGGTACAGTAATTAAAGAGAACTGAAGTGCATTTAATGGTTGGCAGCATGGTTCATTTAAATACTAAAAATAATTAAATTTGCATTATATTAAACCTTATTTTTAAAAAATGTAGTGCAGGCTCTTATTTTTCAGTACTGAAAACCAATTCTCTGTCATTTGGGAGCAATTCTGCATGAGCAGCATTTGCTGTTCATGCCAACTTATGCTGTTCCAACTTTCTTGAGTCATATATATATAAGATTGATATATATATATAAAAGATATATATAACATGAGATCTCCCTCTCAAAGTAAACATGCATGTGTTAGGTGTACGTACACTTATCTTTCTGTTCAGATTTTAGACAGCTGGGAACTTTACTGTGTCTTAGTAAACCTCTCTTGAGAATTTAAGGAAAATGTGTGAATCAATAGTCTGTATTGGGATTGAGTTGTATTGCTCACTGCCTATAGGTGATTGATAAACCGATCATTCTGTGGAAGTTTTATTGTTTAACTTTTCCCTTCAAAAGGACTTGCTTAGTAGTGTATGCAAACACACATAAATCATCTGGCTCCTTGTAACACATCTGACTTTGTGTTATTTGCTGTTCATCCGGTGTGACCTGGAGAAAATCCAGCTGATCTGACTTTTTGCTTTGAAACGTCACAAGGCAGTCATGTTAGAAAAATACTAACGTGTTTTTAATTCTAGAAAAATTGTTGCCAATCACAGCAGTTAAATGTAAAGAGCTTCTAAACCTTTCCTGTCTCATCCACGTGTTTCAGAAAAAAATTCAAGATGGTCAAGGCATAGCGCATCTGAGTGTGAGTAAACAGGATCTCCATTGAGACACTTCTGTCAGTGTGCTTAAGCGGAAGGTAGGAGTTCTAGGGTTATTTACCAAGAGAAATTTGAGGCTTTCAGGGTGACTGTGAATATGGCTGAAGTTCTGAGAGGAACACATGGAAAAAAGTTGTCTTGCAAGAAGTTGAAGTATGCTATTTTTGAGGGTTTAATTGATGGCATCTCTTATTTTTAGTCTTGAAAAAGACAAATTGATCCCTTGGTACATCGGTCACAGCGGAGTTCAATTTAATGGTATTTTTGTATTTTGGTCTGTATGGTAAACATTCCTTGCTGGGACTTGTGGGGAAGATTTATCAGATTAGCTGGAGAAGTTAGCAATGATTTTGGGGCCCAGGGCTGCCTTCAGAAACGTCATCAGTTTGATTGTACTTCAGTAGCCACTTGGAGATGGTGGGATGGGATTGAAGGGATGAGTTTGTTCTGATGTGTAGGTGCTTTCATGCCTAGTTTTGAGGAGGCCACTGGAGTAAAGCACATGTGTAGGGTCTGTGGATTTTGTTACTCGCAGGGATATTGGCATGGTGTCTGCTGGAAATGCAGTTTAGGTTATTCCCATGTTAACCGTCCGAGCTCTGGTCAGTGCACACAGCTCAGCTGAGCTTGCAAAGTGGCCGCTGTCACTGTTCTGTGCTCAAGGGCCTTCCAGAAAACTAACTGCGGCGACTGTGTTCTGGAAACTGATGTGACCTGCAGCCCCTACCTTTGCATCCTGAAATACCTTTTCACACGGAGGGACATGAAAGGAGTTTATATTTGATGTATCTCCCTCAATTGTTGTTACTTTCGATAAAAAGTCTAAATGCAAAAGGTATTCCCAGCCAAGAAGTGGATTAATTGAGATCATTACCTTTGAGTGTATTCTGATATTTGCAGTACTGAATCTTGGTTTTACAAGGATTTGTATTAAATTGCTTCACAGAAAACTGCATATATAGATTAACCTACAGAAAGGTAGGCACTTTGATTCTAGTGTTAAAGCGAATTCCATTCAAGAGTGGTTTAATTCTTTGGATGCTCATTGTTGCTGGAAAACCCCAGAAAGTTGTCATGCTTACTGTACTGGGGAAAAGTTCTTAAAACTCTTGTGCTAGGTTTGTTAGAGTAAAATCAGACTTCATTTACCTGAGTGGGAAAATGTAAACTGACTTAATCATTTGTCTTCTTGTAGGTGGTTTTGCCTTTGTTTATGAAGCTCAAGATCTTGGAAGTGGCAAAGATTATGCTTTAAAGGTAAAATGAATTTATTGCAATGTCTATCTTGTCATTTAGCCATTTAGCATGGCAATTTTTTCTAATCTATGCTATTAAACATGTTACCCAGGGATGTCCAGAATGATACAGTGATATTTTCAAGACAAATTACCCATATTTAGAATGCACATTCTTTTTTATGCCTTGTATTTAATGCTTGGATGCCCAAGATGGGCCCTGCTTTATTAAATAATAGTGCTCATTGGCTAGAAATTCATGACCTGTTCCAAGTATTTTTATTTTTCTCTGGATTCTTATGTTGAGAAGGTCTAGAATTAGAATTACGTTAGCTGCTGAAAAACTGAACTAGTATGGAGAGAGAACAAAAAGGTAAAGTTATATCATATATTGCTGCAAAATTTCATTACTGTTCACTTCATTGCAAAGTAGGGACGTTCTGTGGCTGCATGGAAAAAACTCATCTTGGAAAGGAGGTGGAAAGACAGCATAAGAGATGAGAGAGGTGGGATGGTAATATACCACTTCAAATATTGCCTTGGTCTGTTTTTTCTTTCCAGGAGCTTCATAGTGTAGTTGCTATCATGTGTTTTGTTAATATAGCATATGCTGTGGGTTTGTTTTCACCTGTTTAAAATAATAAAGATTTGAAACCTTAATTTCCTTCCCCTAGTTCCTAATCTAGTGATCTTGTAGCAAATGCTTGGCTTGATCCTGTTCACATGCAGACTCCAAAGGATATTAGAATTTTCATATAACTGAAGACTGTCAGTTGCTTTATAAATGATAAAAGACTACAGCTGTGTGCTTGGTGATAAATGTGAATGGTACAGATAAAAGGAGAACTGTTTGCTTTTGTGGCAGTGTCTGTGAAATAAATACTTTTTGCTCAGTCTCCTATTGCAGATCTGTGGAGTTTTGGCTGTACCTTATCCTCAGTGTTCTGAAAAAGTCCATTGTTTTTATTTTGTTTTAATATTTAAGTGTTCTCAAATATTCTGTTTTCTGACAGCGATTGTTGTCCAATGAAGAGGAAAAGAACAAAGCCATCATTCAGGAAGTTTATTTTATGGTATCCTTTTCTGGAACATATTCAGATGTTTAAAACGTCTGTCAAATGTTTCTGTGAACACAGATGACTTGTATAGATTCATAGGGTGATCTTTATTCCTGTTCTGTCACAGGCACCAACATTCCAGCAAACTTGTTTCTTCAGAAATTGCAAGAATTTAATCTATACAGATAATTTTAGTAACTAGTGTAGACTTTCATGTGCTTTGTGTGGGAAGGAGTGAAATTTATTTGGATTTTCTTGCAGAGGCTTGTGACCTTCAGGAGAACTTATGACTACTACTTGATCATTTAGTCTTAGACTTCCCCCACATGTGCTGAATTTATTTCTGACTAGTTGGCATTTTGTTTTTGCTATCTGTGTTTCTTAATTTTTGGCTTTGAATAATGCAGGCTTGAAAAGTAATACTTGGTATCCAGAAAGTAATTTTAGAAAAAAATACAATGCAGAAGAAAAGCAGATTTTTCCCACAGCACTTTTGCTGTCTCTTTCATACCCTTTAGCAATGACAGGGTATAATGTCAGCTCTATTCTTTCAGTCTTGCTGCTCGCTCCCTCACATTTCTTTACAGACCCTCCATTTGTTTCATGAGTCTTTTTTTTTTTCTTCCACCCTGATGATGATTCAGCTATGTTTTTGAGTTACCAGTTAGCTGTTCTCATCTTCAGAATTCTACTTACTTGGATTCTTTTTGTATGGTTAATGAAATATTTGGAAAAAAATCTAAATCAGACAAAGTTTACTAAAATACGCTCAATGAACTGAGTACCAAAAAATATACAATTTCTGACTACATGTCACTGGGGATGAGTTTTCCATGAATAACAATGTTCTTCAAGCTTTTTTTCACAGCTCAGGCATGTGAAAACATGAGCACAAAGTGATACTTACAGTATAAAGCAGTACTTTGAATTGCTTTGCTTGAACTAATTTTCTTCCTCTCCTCTCCTCTCCTCTCCTCTCCTCTCCTCTCCTCTCCTCTCCTCTCCTCT